GGGGGGGGCAGGAGGAGTGGATCAGTACCGTTCAAAACTAGTCTATTCCATCATCATCATCATCATCATCATTATAGTCATAGTGATGGACTGAAAATGACGTAGGCCTCCATCAACACAATTTAGACCATTTAGGAACGAGGGCCGCTTCGATCTTGCGCGTCAGGGTCACTCTGGGAAGAGCGGGTTACAACATCAAAGCAGACAGACAGAGCTATTCGATATAAATGTCTTCCCCATCATATACTGCCTTCTGAGAGAGAGAGAGAGAGAGAGAGAGAGAGAGAGAGAGAGAGAGAGAGAGAGAGAGAGAGAGAGAGAGAGTCACGTTGTTTGCCCCGTGCACACTGGTGAGTGTACGGACCATCTTCCGTGTGTCTAACGCCACGTAAACTTCCCCTCTCCGACACAACAATACAACATGGCGGCGCCCTGGTTCAATATGAAGCCGACAACTCGCAGCCGACAAACTTTAGTTTTGCCAATTTTGGCCTTTATCCTGATTAGTGTTTTACATACAGTTGTAAGTCACGGCCATGCACACGATCATGGGCATGGCCATAGCCACGAACACGCTCACAGTGACGAAGCGCCTTCGTTCAAGTACAGTCAAGCTGCGAACGATCCGCCTGCTAAGGAACAAGCAAAGAAAGTTGTTCATGATCATGGACACGGGCATGCACACGACCATGGACATGCACACGCTCACCATGGACACGCACACGATCACGGACATGCTCACGAGCACCACGGACATGCTCATGCCCATGGACATTCTCACAACAGTAAAGATCATGGAAGCGCAGGTTCCACAAAGTCAGCCTCCAAAGACTCGAGTAACCTGTGGATCAAAGCCATTCTTGCAACTGCAGGCATCAGTGTAGCGCCAGTATTCATTCTCTTATTTATACCCCTTGAAAATGCAGATGAGCATCAACAGCTCTTGAAGGTTTTACTTAGTTTTGCATCTGGAGGACTTCTGGGAGATGCATTTTTACATTTGATTCCCCACGCTATCTCTCCTCATTCACATGGAGGAGATGAGGACGGGCATCAGCATGCTCATTCACATGACCATGGTCATTCTCACGGTGCCCACAGCCACGATATGAGTGTCGGCCTGTGGGTTTTAGGTGGTATCATTGCTTTTCTCATGGTTGAAAAGTTTGTTCGTTTCATCAAAGGTGAGCAAGGCCATGGGCACGGACATTCACATGGTGCTGTGAAAAGCTCGTCAAGTACGTCAGAAGGATCAAGTGAGAAGAAACCTAAAGCCGAAGGCAAAAAGAAAGGAAAGGCCAAAGAGAGTGATGATGAAGATGACAAAAATAAGGAGAAGGAAGCGGATAAATCAGGTAGACCAACAAAGTCAAAGTAGGCTAACTTTTTGAACGTTTTGAAAACATTTTTTTATACAAGTTTATAATTAGGCCCTACTGATACGAGGTGCCCACTACGGCTGGATCGGGCCGATCGCCCCACTCGATCGCCTGAAACTGAAAACAAACACGTTTGTTTTTGAGGCGATCAAGTCGAGCGATCAGGCTGATCGGCCGATCCCATCCGTAGTGGGCACCCCGTATGACTTCTTACATTTAATATTTAACAAGAGAACTTTTACAACTAAAGCTGATGATTCCTCTTGAAGGACTCATCATTTGTTTTGTCGAATTATAGTCATCTAATCAGTCCCAAATTGTATCGCCCCCTATCTGTAAAGTAAATGAATGCAAAAAAAGGTTACTCTACTCTGAACTCCATAGTCTGTCTCAGACCATATATATGACAGGACACAACGTTGGGTTGCTGAGCAGTCTGGAACTCTTGCTTTAAAAAAAGTTGCTGCAAGAGGGGGGGAGGTGGGGGGCTTCGCTGTTTAATTTTCAGTCAATAATTCTCATTAAATTATTAAATTTAATTTAGATATCTACCTCTTGAATTGAATTTCAAGCTGGAGTGCTATAATTTAAAAAATGACAATTTATTGCAAAATGAGTTTCCTCATGGGAATAATATTATGTCAATAAAATTATTTCATTTGTCTGTTAGATCTAATTAAGAAAATTAACATTGAAAGAAATTGGAGAAATTTTCACTGACTCTCTGAATTTTAACAACTATTACAATAAAAAAAAAGAATTTTCTTAGATTAATCAGTCACATTTCTAGTAGTAAAAATACTTAAGTGAAAAGTTGTCTTTCTTTTCCCGAAAAAAATTTTCACTTCGTTGCACTGACCAAGAAAATTGTTGATAAAATTGTCACACATTTGCCCTAATTATTAAATGTCTTCAGTTACGCCTTTGTACCACTGTCAGTCTCTGAGTTTCAAATACAACACAGCTCTACTTCAGACTACCTATGATCTCATAAGTGTTAACATTGTTAAAGACTTAGACTAGTTCAGGTAATCTTAGAAAACAAAAAATGTCCAAATTGTCATCTCACATGCAAATATGAATGACAGTTTAAATGACAGTGCAGCCTCTCTATATCAACCTTCGATATGATGACATTATCTCTGTATAGCGACATGGTGCCTAGATCCCAATTTTTCTCTTAAATGTATCATTAGTAATATATTTGGTTGCTTCTCTTCTATAACGACAACTTTCTGCTCTATACTCTATAACGACATTTTTTTCTGGTCCCGACGGCGTAGTTATAGAAAGTCTCCGCTGTATTATAAATACCTATCAACCCTGAAAAAATGTGTTTTTTCTTCTCTTACCTCCCCTCACAGACGCCAGCGATCAGGTCGTTCCGGCTTCAGACATCAAAGTGGCCGGGTACTTGAATCTAGCCGCAGACTTCGCGCACAACTTCACGGATGGACTTGCCATTGGAGCCTCCTTCCTGGCCGGACAAAACATTGGGATCATCACAACAATCACAATCTTCCTTCATGAGATCCCGCATGAAATTGGAGACTTTGCTATCCTCATACAGTCGGGATGTTCAAAGAGAAAGGTACGAGTTTTTGCTTGCATGTTGGCGTTGCTTTTTTCAAAGTTCAAAATTATAAAGTGATGTTTTCATTTCTTTTCGTTGACATCAATTTCGAAAATATTTCTGTATTTGGTTTCTACAGTACTTTTCTGTTTGTGAATGTAGCTTTAAAAAAAATTTTGTCGGAAGACTGAAATGTCCTAGTACATAAAAACAATGCACAAAGTCATTATGAAACGAGTCCCTTGGGTGCGTAATAGTAGGACTCTAGATGGAGAGGAGACAATTCTTGATAGTCAAGAAAAGTTAAATGACACCTGTATTCAAATGTCCGACTTCCATGTGTGTCTTTTGAAATGGAGGGCGCCTCTGACAGGTCTTGCTTCTTCACTATCCATCTTGTTAGTCCTGTTTATCCGTCTTGATTTTTTGCCAGCTTTTAATGACAGCAATGATGTTGATTTGTTTCTGCTCAAGCCAAAAGGAAGGAACACAAGGCCGCAGCAGATACCAGCATGTTCTGTTACTTTTTTTTTTAACAGAGGTGTAGTTTCATTATGATTCATAAAATAATGTACATCTCAGTCTCTATCTTTTCCTGTCCCTTTTTCACCCTCTCTCTCTCTCTCTCTCTCTCTCTCTCT